AAATTGCACCAGTTAATGTACTAAAAGGTACATGATTTCATTTATGAAAACGAAGTTAATTTGCATATTTGATCCAAAAATTATTCAGCTTTTGTTTAAGATAGTTTGTAATACCGTCAACAATTTTCAAACAAATATATTTTTATACTATATTATACTATGTTAATATATTAATAATTATACTATGTTATAATAATATTATATTATATATATTTAATTTCACAAAATTATTTATCTATTTAATCATATTCGACAGGAACATGGTAGTGAATAATTTTCATTAAACACACGATGACTTAAACAAACTTTATAGCTATTCTCATGTTAGAGAATGACTGTGAAACCTTCAATGCAGATTGATAATAAATTCTGGGGTTGTTCTTCATTTTTCAAAGACCAAATGACTATTATCACGTGCACTAACACGTATCCCCTATTTTGATCCATAGATCACGTGTGTTAATTTACATGAAAATGAATTAACATTTAGTATGATAAATGATAAAAAAATGTGGAATTTTTAATATATTATTTAAACAAATTAATTTTTCATCATTATTTCTACATGGTTGCATTCCAAATGTAACATTCTATATTTTTCAAGAAAAAATTTGCTTCCAACCCACTTGTTGTAGTTCTCGAGATATTCCAAAAACTATGCTTTTAATCCCCAACTTGTGTCATAAATTTCATAAAAATCGGCGTGTCCGAATCAAATATGATCCCTTGTAAGTAGAAATCAGACCAAAGTTAAATTTACATCTAAAAAATAGACACGTGCCATTTTGCTAATTGAAGATGACTATGAAATCAATGAAAATGACTGATTTCTAAATTTTTATTTTTTAATTATTGGAGACATGTACAAGTTTGATAAAAGTAACGTTAACTCTTGTTGAAATAGAAACGTGACTATACATGTATACCTATCTCTTTCTTTTTTGTTTTACTTTAATTATTATTATTTATATATGCTACATTTAGGTATCCATTATGAGTTAATAATTTAATAATAAATACACTATATGTCTGACCTTGTTAAACAATTAATTCTACAAAACGTTTACAATATTACTATAACAAGCCTAAAAATTCGAGAATAATATTGTACATTAATAATACATCACTATGCTATTATTACGTTATTACTAGATGGATAGATAAAGTAAACGATGGTAAGAAAACTGAGAAAAGAAAAATAAATTTTCTTTGCAACTTTAACAAATTTGAAGAACTTAAAAATACAGTCTCGGAAAAGTAAAACTTTTATATCTTTAAATTACAATTAATTTGTTATTACGAAATAATTTATAAATTGATCTATGAAACATACTCGAAACCATAATGGAAATATTAAAATATTCTCCTGTAAAGCAGTGTAAACATAAATAATGGTTATAATAATTTGTATTAATGGATGTATGAATTCTTGAGTTTCGTGCAATAATTTTATGCTATAAAATCGTTTTTTCATAAGCTTTCCGTGTTTTCTATCTCTTTTTCAAACGGTTATTAAACTTTCTACATAATTTTCTCTGGAACTTTAAAGATTAACGATGTTAATGAAAGTTCCTTTATGTGCAGTAGAATGTTACGATTTTAATTACTTTATGTATATCTTTACAAAATTCTAATTATACTAATTAATGTCTTACACGTTAAATTTATGGTTGTAAGGAAAAACGTTGCATGATACAATTTCAGGAGATTCTAATTTATTCATTAATTAGATTGCAAAACGTTTATTATTCGCCTATGTATTTTATAGCGATTATTTATTACGATTCAATTTATTACAAAAAATAAATAAGAACAAATTTTATATCTACCAAAAAATTATGCAATTTTTACTGAGAGCGAATAAAACAAAGTTGATCTTAGCATTTTTTAACGGCAGTATCTCTGAAATGAAAATTCGTGGCATGTGACGTTTTTTACTATAATTGTAGAACAAACAAATTAGATGACATATTTGATTTACCTCTGAATGTTATAAATAACAAATTATATAATTTTTCTAACATAAATATCAAAAATATGAGTATGTCAAAGATAAATCGACTAAATTCAAACTCTGAAAAATTTTCTGATAAAGGTTTAACTTTATAAGTTTTTCAACTAGAAATTATATTTTTTAAATGATTTTGCATGGAAACTAGTTTCCCAGATGTAAGGATCGTTATTTCTGTCATATAAATTTTATATTCATTTACTAATAACTAAAATTTATAACAAATTTTAGTCATATACAAGAAAAGTAAAAGAAATATTATTCATTGAAATATAATTGAAATATGATTCAAAAAGCAAGTTCTGTGACATTGAAATTCATATTTGACAATTTCATAGAACTACTACGGTATTTATCCTGAATGATAATAGTAAAAAATGATTATATACTGTCAAACCTAAAAAATAAATTTAAAGAATTCAAAATAAAAAAGAATATTATTTAAGCCACAAAAGATATGTATTTAAAACAAATTATTACAACAAAAAAGTATTCATTTGATTTATATTAATAGTAGTAACTAGGAAAATGCTAAGGAAATTCATTACTACGTAATATCTTCTTTTACTAAAAGTATGATTTATGTAAAAAAAATTGAAGTATAAATAAATTATTAATTCAGTTGAGAGTGATATATCTCAATTTTACGATCATCTAGCAATGGCAATAAAAAATAACAACTAACAATGGCAATCAAAAATTCGCAAAAATTCCTTAAACACTCTTAAAAATCCTTTTCATATAAAAAGGTCTCAGAAGTAGAACAATTCACTTTTCGACCAAACTATCCATCATGCCTGAGAAACTTGATTTCAATCTATGTCATCAAAGTAACTGAACAAGTGTACATATACACTCGTAGAATTGGAGCATATATGTACACATGTATACACATATATAAAACGCAAGCTTCTGATATCGTATTGAAATTTTCAATCGAGGTGACAAATAACGTTGATAGCGAGACACGGAAGATAAAAGGAGAAAATGAGAAAAGTGGCTAGGCCTGGTGTAGATCGAGAAACTGGTAAGGAGGTCATGATCAACGTCAAATGTAATAGAATCGTCGGCTGAGCCATGGGCTAAAGCGAAAAGATTCGTGCCACTTTTGACGCAACTAGACCGTGCAAAAAAGCCAAGAGATTCGCGAAACAACGCAATTGCTCGGTTCTGAAACTGTCTTTTGTTGCCACGAATGGATCATCGAAACGAGATTCGGAGCGGAACCGCGTACTTTACCAATTCAAATCGTGAGTGATTCGAGCCGGAAGATATCGAAAAATATTATGCTAGAAAACAGTGTGAAATGCGTACAATTGTGTAGGTATTGTATATAGTCGAGGAGGATTCTTCGTCGTATTTAAAACGAAATCTAGCAAATGAAAATAAATTTCTCTTACATTAGTAGTTTTCAAAATTAGCGAGATTTCTATTGTAATAAACGAATAGAATTATATGGTTAATGAATTTACATAAATAAGTGAAATTCGAAAATAAGTGTACGTACAGGTGTATTTAGCTATACATTGTCAGGCATGCATATGTGTAAGATTATATATTTGTAGCTTACATGTTTTTAATAAACGAACAGAACGCAGAGACACATCTTAACAAGAAAAACTTTAAAAAGATGGAATAAGAAAAATATGGAGAAATTTATAATACGTATATTTAAAGAAAAATCAAGACGTGAAGTGACCAGGATGATAATACTGAATACAGAATTTACAATCAAAAATTTAGAAACGGTTATTTAGTCTGTATTAATATTTAGCTGTGTTAATCTTAATATTAATATCTATTAATTGTTTATTACTTAAGATTTTGATATAATTAAATCAATATTTAACGGTAACTGAAATCCTAGTTTTCGCAACGATTTGAATAGTTTTATTCTTGGTAATACTATATTATGTATATTATATGCAGTTAATATCATCGACGAAGCCTAGTATTAATTTGTATAGAAATAAAAATTAGGCGGATATATTATATTTTATCGTCTTTCTTTGTTTTCTAGTATAGCTTTCAAAAATCTCTGATGTACAAAACTTCTTACTGTACGTAATTTTGGGGAAGGAAAACGAAATAATTAGTATTTTGAATCGATAATTTAAAATTTGCATGAAAGAATAAGTCAAATTATTGTCAATCATTTTATATGATTTATCATTGATTTATTTAATCCATCATTTGGTTACTTCAATTTATTACTGTTCATTTAAATTATTCCAAAGAAATCTTTCTGTTACTCAATTTCCAGGTTTTTATTTATTTCTACTACCTCTATTTTACTTGCCTGAATTAATACTTTGTTTATCTAAAAACAAAAGTATAAATAATAAGTAATATTTTTACTATTTTGCTAGACTTCTAACAAGCAAAAGTGGCATTTTTTTTATCAAATTCATACATTTCTATTTGTCTTGTGAGATTAAAATATTTTCAATATATATTAACCCTTTGCACTCGAAAATTTTTTGGTTAGAGAAGAATAGAAAATTAAAGATTTTCTATTAAAAAACTGACGATACTTTTTTGAGCAGTAAATAAAGAATTGTAGAATTATTTGATTTCGATACCTTGCACACTGTTACATTACATTAAATTTGATATATTAATTAATATCAATCTTCCAAATTTTATAAAATGGTGACTGAGGGTCACCTCTCAAGTGCAAAGGGTTAATAATAATTTGCTAATAAATCTTGGTACTATTATAGAAATTACAGAGATTAACATGACACTTAATACTGCTGCAAATACAGACTAGATTTTCCTTAGACATCAGCATTACTCGAAAAGGAAAACAAGAATCAGGAAATAGTCTTCCGCGAGATTCCACCTTGAATAGACGTGTATTAGCGAATCGTGTTACCGTATATTAGCGTGTAATCCTTATATAATAAATAATGTTTTAATTTTAAAAATTGATTTTACTACGATTCATTACTTATGTTTTCTATGGAACTGAAGGAACATAATAATAATGTGTCCTAAAATTCAAGCAAGATTTGAATTTTGTGCCATTTGTGCGGTAAAGTGTTGCTAATGAAGAAAAAGACAGCGTGACAACTGACAATTCAGGGTTACTAAAAATGGAGCGCTACACGAAAAAACAACGTATCTTCATTATTAAGCAATATTTACAATTTTTAATTAAAAACCTGCTTCCTATCGAAATTACTTCTTGTGTGAATTTTGGAACATCCATTATTTTCAATTTAATCTATTTTAGTAATTGTTCAAATTATCAGTCAAATTCACGGTTATTTCTAAAAAAATATATATGACATGAAATTAAATAATTTTATATTTAGTAATATATAATATTATAATAATGTTACAATACAATATTACATATTAAAATTATACAGTATTATACTTTTATATGTAATTATATAGTATAATTCTTTTGTTTTACTAATATATATTTATTTCTCTATTTCTGTCATTTTCTGTAATTATTTATGCTCCTCGCTTGATTATTATTAGTCATTCTCTAATTCGATATATTAAACAATGACAGCGCCTATAACAATTAAAATGTCATCCAAATACTGAAACAAATTTGAGACTATAAAACATAATTAATATTAATTAAAGATATTAATAGATATTAATTAAAAAAATTAATTAATTATTAATTAAAGTATAGAAAACTAAAGCTAATGAAAAGAAGAAAGTATACGTAGTGATGACCCTATTTAAATAAAATTCACAATCAGTATTATTTCTGTCAAAAGCAGCTGTATATTTTCAGCAAGTGTAAAAATAAAGTTTGATAGAAGTCATTTTAATAGTCTTACGATTAGTATTAATATGCGTATTGTTCTCTGAATTTGTAATTGAACTATTACAATTATTATAACTACTAGGTGTATATATACTCATTCTGTTTTAATACCCTCTTCGTACAGCCTTAAGTTTATGTTTCAAACCACTAATCTTCAAGTGTCCTTATAGTGTTCTCGGTTTTTAATAACTTATGTTTTCTCTTACATTATACCACCAGCGTGTTATCTTTGTTGGAGAAAAAAAGAATGATCCTTTTTCAGGGACCGGTAGACAATTTATTCAATTAAAAATACTCTGCCTTTCGGTTTTAAAAGAATAGTATTATTTAAAAAGTAGAAAGTAGTAATAATGAAAGCGAATTAAAAAATGGCAATCATGTATATGTCAAATCAGTAAATTCATATAATTTGACATATGCTGAAACGAAACAAACAAGTCTTTCACCGGACTGAATTTTTTCTCACTCCATGTTTTATGAAAATATAATACATTTCGTCGCAGATATATACCGCAATCACGTACCTTGCGGTTTTTCTTTGCGATTGAAATGCTAAATCAGTGATAATCCAACCGCGATCCTCCAACAGCAAATATTGTTCCACTAGATGGAACGAAACATGAGGTTTTCATGGAGTTTAAATAACTTTTCTCACGAAAGGAAGACATTTTTTAATCGAAATTTTAGATTATTACTAGCAATATTTGTTATACATGGAAGATTATTGAAAGAGGAAACAATTCTGAGGTTTGAAGTTAATTTTGTAATGCATAGAATTAATTATGTGTTTCAGGAAGAATACGTAGCGGAAAATATAAAATGGACTCCGATAGAGTACTTTAATAACGCGGTTGTCGTCGAACTTTTGGAAGGTAAACGACCACCAGGATTGTTTTTGATACTCGACGATGTCTGTGCCACTCTTCATGGTGGCAGCACTGGTGCGGATGCAGATTTGCAAAAGGTAAGAAGCAAACGCTTTGTTTATGTCTTTATGACAATAAAAATAATAATACATATAATTATCATTGAGAAATCAAATGTCCCGGCGTAATCTTACATTAGTTCTCTGTCCTGTATCAATAGATAGCACCACATGTGTATACGAAAACTTTTCTTTGGTTAAGTTCTCGCATCTAGTAACATGCAAGTGTATCAAATATATAACCAGAGGCTTGCTTTCTCTCTTTACTGTTTCCTTTTCTGTTATAGACCTAGTCAGTATAAATATTAATGCTGTTTTGTTTCTAAGACTCGTGTGTCCCACTATACAAAGTGGGCCGAAATTCATAGTACAAAGAGGTAATTCTATGTGAAAAACAAATCGAAAAAAATATAATGACATATTTTTATTTGAAGCTTCGTAGTTGAGAAAATTGATTTTTAATATTTATCGAGTACGCGTGCACTTAATTATGGCTTAAATAGATAAATCATCAATACATCAGCATCGGTGGTTCTACATGAAAAAACAAATCGAAAATAAAAAATAAAATTTTTTCATTTGAAGTTTCGTAGTCGAGAAAATCGACTTTGAATATACATCGAGTACGCTAGTATACTGATGGTCCATCCATCTAGCAAGGAAATGCCGCTAGTGGTCCACTTCCGACTTGAATGAAATTTGGTAGGCTTAAAGAACTGCCAGGAATATCATACGCTTATTCTTTTAACTGCGGTAACTCGAGTTTAAATATGGAAATCACTCCCCAAATATTCGTCCTCCGAGAACTAACTCAGACACTGTAAGCGCTAGCAGAAAATTACTTCATGAAAAATTGTATAGTTTCTGGCGTGTTAAAACAGAGTGCAAAAGTTAACAAAATATAATCAATAATATTAAATAAAATAAATTGTTAATGCTTATTTGAAGAAATACAACGATTGTTCATGTAACAAAAAAAAATGCATTTTTTGTCCCGGAAACAACAGTATATGTATATGTACAGTGGCCTCAACAAATAACGTAAAGATTGCATTTTTATATCGGCCATTTGAGTGCTCGCGTCTAAGCAGGCCGCTCGTAGCACGCTGTATTCAGTGCATGCGTTAAGCGCATGCGTACTCGGTGAATATTCAGTCGATTTTCTCGATTACGAAGTTTCAAATGAAAAAATTTTATTCTTTTTTTTCGATCTGTTTTTTCATGTAGAAACGTCCCTTGCTCGGTTGTACTACGAATTCCGACCCACCCTGTATATATTAAATAAAACATTCATTTCGCTATAATTATAGTATAATGTATTAATATATAATATTATATTACATATTTATTACATGTTATATACAGATGACCTTCGTATAACGTGAATTAATTTAGATTCTAGGAAAACGTCGCGTTATACGATGTTCAGATGCCACAAATTACAAACAAAAGTAGGTTATATAGGTTATATAGGTTATATATATATAGTAAGTATGCTCTAAAACACATTTTTTAGAGAAAACAATTTATCTATTTATTTAAGGAGAAAATGTACAGGGTGCATCGTGTAATTGCAACCACTTTGATTACTCTATAGGTAATGATTTTAGTGAGAAACCTTTCGAACAAAAGTAGAACGGTAACAAGGGAATCATAATTTGAGGTGATTAATTTGTTTCGTAAATCTATGCGTAAAGCACATATGAAGGTCAAATTAATTTGTTGGAATGTAATCATATTTCATATAAAAATAGTAATTATTACTTTCAGAAGTATCCCGGTGGTTCTATTCATGTCAATTCACGTAATTAAAGTCCACGTATTTTCTGCACTAATAGCTTTTTAACATAAAAGTTAAAATTCTAATTTTGTTTAGAACATTTTTCATTGCAGTCATTACTTACGACATAATCAAAATGATTGCAATTATATATCGATTTATTTTAGTCATCTACATGCATCAAAATGTGTATCGCAAAATGAAAAGTTAAGAAAATTATAAATTGTACATAAGGTTTACAATTTATACATATCTAAGGACATGTGAATGCTCCATAAGTACTGGGTACAATTTATGAATCACGCTATATTAAAACGCTTTTAATACGAGAGTTATCTGTATTATATGTGTGTAGATCATTTTGAAAGTGGCCTAAGTCATACATATTTCGTTCTGAAATATTAAAAGTACCACCACATTTCAAATATACTACAAATTGAAAAATTAATTAGGTAAAACTACAACAAAAACTCAATCTAAGGATTCAATTTTTCGCTATTTTACTAAGAATGATTTTATTTTATTGTAATATAAATAAATTCGATACAAAATAAACGACAAAATCATTTCTTTTAGATTATTGACTTACACCACTTTCATAATTACTAGCACATATGATACATGATATATAACATATTATTAATTATTAATTATTGATTATAGTTTATTGATATATATAATAACATAATATATAATATTTTATATTGAATTAATTAATATTAAATTAATATATTATATTAAATCAATCGCAAACAGAATCACTTTCTAC